GATCTTAAGTGTTTAGGAATCATCATAAGCCAGGGTCTTCCAGTTGTGCTATAGTTTTTCTTGTATAAGATGCCGTCGATAATGCTGAATTCCTTTCTGGTGTAGCCTGAGTTTAAATTATCGATTATTTTAGCTAAATCCGGGTCTTTAGTCTGCTCTATATCGACGTTGGTTAGTGACATCACAGCACTTGGTTGATCGTTCTCAAGCGGGCTCCTTGACAGACAATCGGCATCCTTATGTTTGCGTCCGCTCTTGTAGATAACGGTCACGTCAATTCTTGCAACTTCAGCGCCCATCTTGCCGAACGGCCAGAAGGATCTTTCTGTCCTACCAACCAACATAGAGAATGATGGTCAGTGACAACCGTGAATGGTCGACCAAACAAATATGGACGGAATTTGCTAATAGACCAGACTACAGCAAGGCATTCTTTTTCTGTTGTAGAATAGTTATGTTCAGACTTTGTCAAGCTTCTAGACGCATAAGCTATAGGCCGCTCCTTTCCACCTTGTATTTGTAGAAGAACAGCTCCAATACCATGTCCGCTTGCATCCGTGTGTAGATGGGTATCAGCGGATTCATCAAAGTGTCCCAAGACAGGCTCTGAAATTAGAGCTGTTATAAGGACTTCAAACGCTTTCTCTTGAGCTGCATCCCAATAGAATTGTTTTTCAGTCTTCAGTAGGTCATGCAAAGATCTAGCTTTGTCAGCAAAATTTTCAATAAATCTTCGGTAATAGGAACATAATCCAAGAAAGCTCCTCAGTTCAGAGATATTCTTTGGCCTCGGAAATTTAGAGACGGCTTCAACTTTATCTGGATCTGGTTGAATTCCATTGGCGTCAACAAGGTGTCCTAAAATCTTTATCCTCCTTGATCCAAAAAGACACTTTTTGTGGTTCAAGCTTAGTCCAGCTTTCTGGATGCACCTTAATACAAGTTGTAGACGACGTAGATGTTCCTCAAAGGTAGGTGCGTAAACTACGATGTCGTCCAGGTAGCAAAGGCACATGTTCCATTTAAGACTGCCCAGAACACTATCTATCATCCTTTCAAACGTTGCTGGAGCGTTGCATAGACCGAAAGGCATTACTCGGAATTCATACAGCCCATCTGGAGTGATAAAGGCAGTTTTCTCCCTGTCTTTTTCGTCCACTTCAATCTGCGAATACCCGGACCGAAGATCCATCGTGGAGAAGTAACTAAAGCCGGCTAAACTGTCCAAGGCATCGTCAATGGGTGACAGCAAGTAAACATCTTTTTTGTTATCTTATTAAATCGACGATAATCTACGCAGAATCTCCAGGTCCCGTCTTTCTTTCGAACTAGAATAACAGGAGATGACCAAGGACTTTCAGAGGGCTTCACGATGTGATTTTCAATCATCTTGTTCACTTCATCTTGAATTAGTCGTCGTTCACTTGGTGCTACTCTATAGGGCCGCTGTTTGATAGCAGAGTGGTCTCCTGTGTTTATCTTGTGCTTCACAGTACTGGTGGGCGTAAAAGGAGTTCCCCCAAAGTCAAATATGTCAATAAACTCGTCAAGGCATGAAACAAGCTGTAACCTTTGAATTTCAGACAGCCCTGGATCTAGAGTAAGGTTTAGCTTCTGTGACCATTCACGTGACTTTAGCTGCGTTTCTTGTAACTTATCGCTGGATTCGATAAGACTGCAGATATTTCCATTCTCATAACTTTCCATGGTGCACATATTCATTCCTGATGGAATCAGTTGCGGACAAGACGCTCCATTGGCAACCCAAATGCTACCTCGGCCGTGTCGAAATGTAACCAATGAGTTTGGTATAAGAACTTCTTTTCTTAATAATAAGTCCTTAGAAGTTGAGACTAAAACATCTCTAACACGGCATACTTCTTCGTTTATCACACTGATCTTCTTTATTGATTTAGGCGGGATGACAAAGTCGTCGGAAGCAAACAATCTCTGGTTTTCCTCCTCTCGAGATTCCAGGACGAAGGTTTCCCCGAGATGGAGTTCATTTCTGCCACAATCAATGACGGCATCGGTGGCCTTGAAGAAGTCACATCCAAATATGATGTCATGGCTGCATTCCACCATAACAACGAATTCAAAGGATATCTTCAGACCATTAACTTCTATGTTCAGGACACATTTTCCTAGGGTCTCTATAAAATTTTTATTTGCGTCTTTAAGAATGGGACCTGGTTCTTTGAAGAGAGGTGTCTTTAGTTCGCGTCGAAATTTGTCTGAAATAACAGAAAAGTCTGCTCCTGAATCCTCCAATGCTTTAATTTTGCGTCCATTTATTTCGACCATAAAAAAATATTCTTTTAATTTAGCGGCGATATACCCTGGAGGATTTTCCTCAATGGCGACTTCACCCCCGTTAGAAGCCGCTCCACTTAGGTTTTCACATTCTGAGGCTTGGGAGAACGGCTGAAACGACGGGCTGGCGACTGGGATTGTCTTCGAGCCGGCGACCTTGCGCGGCTTGGATGTGGGGAAGAGCTCCGGTAGAAGTACGTTGAGGTTTGGGGCGTTACATAGTCGTCGTCGGCGTCATATCTCGGGGGTCGACTCGAAATTCCAACATTTCTTCCTTCTCCGCCATTCCTTGACCTGGCTTCAGCGAAGACCTGTCGTCGTTCCCTACAATAACGGACGACATGTCCGGGTCGTCCGCAGTGGAAGCAGATCGGTTTGACGTCGTAGGTTCTCCAATGTTCTGTCTTCCTGGGTTGGGTTAGTCGGTCGATATTATAATAGGGCGTTCGTGGGTGTTGTTGTACCACGTTGACTTGTGGTCTGGTAGGTTGTAGAGCACGGCTGACCTCTTCCCTCACAGTCTGTTCCAGGGCGTTCACCTCTCGGAGAGGATTGACCACTTCAGGTGCTGAGAAAACCTTTTGTATCTCTTCTCTAACGATGCGGCGAATTAAGCCGGCCAAGTCGTCTGAGTCGTCAACACACGAAATGGGCATTACGTTTGACAACCTGGCGAATTTCGTACGGCCGATCCTGCGCTGCTTGACGGTTGTCAGATGACGGCAAAACTTCAGGATCTCATCTACTGTCTGTATATCTTTCGCCACCAATACCTGGTATGTGTCCTCCGAAATTCCCTTTATAATGTGAGCAACTATCTCACCTTCTTCCATGCGAGGGTTCACCTGGTGGCAGAGACTAAGAATCTCCTGGATGTATGACTCGCTGGATTCCTCGGCCTTCTGTGCTCTTGACTTCAGAACTTCCTCGGCGCGTCGAGCAGAATCCTTCTGCCGCGGAATGCGTCTTCAAAGCTTCTCCACGAGTTGAGTGATTCTTCGTTATTATCAAACCACCTTCCAGCAGTTCCGTTCAAGTAAAATACGACGTTGGCAAGCTTCATGGTCTCGTCCCATCTGTTGTACTTCGACACTCTCTCGTACTCTTTCAACCATTGTCCAGGGTTTATATTTCCATCTCCAGAAAAGGTAGAAGGATCTCGTTGGCGCTGACAAGGGAGGTAGGATCCGCTAACAGTAGGTCTGTGGTCGTCTTCCATTTCTATTCGTTGTGGCAAAGGTTGAAGAATTGGTTCACGTCCCTGTAGACATCGACTTCTTCGAAGTTCCGTCACGCTACCCAGCGTCTCCACCAAAATATGTCGCGGAGATAAATAAAGCAAGGGCAAGTTTGGGGATAATTAATTTATTATAAGGGGTAATTATAGGGGGAGAGAGAGAAAGTACAACTTACCCTCAGTTAAAGCTAATCCTGAATGACCGGCGTTAGCCACCGTCCCGTTTTCCTTATTTACAGATCAGCTTCCCAGAAGCCCCCACACCTGTGGTCCCCCTCCCCCGGGGTCCAGGGATGATTGACAGTCGTCCCATCTGGATGGAGCTACTTGACAATATATATATATGTATATTCTATATATCTCTTACATTTATTGATATATATTTATCCTTATTTATATATATATAATCTCTTATTTATTCAGATACATATTTATATTTGATGCATTAGCGCGCCATCTGTTATCAAAATTGTAAACTATTATAGACGCGTAAGATCCATTTTGAAAATAAACAATCTCTACTACCCTTACTGCAATATAAATATTAATGGGAGGGCCTGGCTCATCATTGGTGAACCCTCCCAGTGGTTTCGCCAGTTTAATCTACCATACTGCTGTTATATTGCATTTTTCGATTCTACTTTTATAGTGATACTGATGCTAGACTCTTGGAATGGGCGTTTTAGAAGAACTATGAGCATTAGATTTGAGGACAGCAGAATTACATACAATTATAAATTATTATTTATAAATTAGCAATCGCTCTTCCGCAAACATCAATTTGTATCTTTTATTATAACATTTATATTATGATGCATTTGCGGAAGAACGATTGCTCGAAGCATGTAATTCTGCTGTTCTCAAAGCTTATGTCCATAGTTATTCAAAAATACCCATTCCAAGAGTCTGTCATCAGTATCACTATAAAAGGAAGATCGAAAAATGCAATATAAAAACGGTATGGTAGATTAAACTGGCGAAACCGCTGGGAGAGTTCACCACTGATGAGCCAGGCCCTCCCATTAATATTTCCATACTAGCCGAATGACCCGGGCAACGACCGTGTTTTACCCGACTGTAGATGTTACAACGGTGATCCTTAGGTCGCTGGTTCAAATCCGGCTCGAGGGAGCCGGCGAGCACGTGACCTCCCTGTGCGCGCGCATCCGTGACAGAGGCCGATGAGGAAAGACGGTCGTGACTATATATATACTAGCCGAATGACCCGGGCAACGCCCGTGTTTTACCCGACTGTAGATGTTACAACGGTGATCCTTAGGTCGCTGGTTCAAATCCGGCTCGAGGGAGCCGGCGAGCACGTGACCTCCCTGTGCGCGCATCCGTGACAGGGGCCGATGAGGAAAGACGGTCGTGACTATATATATATACATTTTGTGTAGAAATAGGATTAGTTGACTTTATAAGGTAAACTTATTCATACAGTTTGTATCCCTCGATAGCTCAGTTGGCAGAGTGGAGGACTGTAGATGTTACAACGCTGATCGCTGGTTCAAATCTGGCTCGAGGGAGTTTTTTTTTTATTGGCTGCCGGCGAGCACGTGACCTCCCTGTGCGCGCGCATCCGTGACAGAAGCCGATGAGGAAAGACGGTCGTGACTATATATGTTGATATATTTTGTGTAGAAATAGGATTAGTTGACTTTATAAGGTAAACTTATTCATACAGTTTGTATCCCTCGATAGCTCAGTTGGCAGAGCGGAGGACTGTAGATGTTACAACGGTGATCCTTAGGTCGCTGGTTCAAATCCGGCTCGAGGGAGTTTTTTTTTTTTAATTTTTATTGGCTGCCGGCGAGCACGTGACCTCCCTGCGCGCGCGCATCCGTGACAGAGGCCGATGAGGAAAGACGGTCGTGACTATATATAGGGATAATAATAATTATTATCATTAGATAATGATCATAATGATGATGCGCGCGCATCCGTGACAGAGGCCAGGAAAGATAATAATAATAATTATCATTAGATAATGATTATGATCATAATGATGATGCGCGCGCATCCGTGACAGAGGCCAGGAAAGACGGTCGTGACTATATATGTTGATAATAATAATAATTATCATTAGATATTGATAATGATCATAATGATGATGCGCGCGCATCCGTGACAGAGGCCAGGAAAGACGGTCGTGACTATATATGTTGATGATGATGCGCGCGCATCCGTGACAGAGGCCAGGAAAGACGGTCGTGACTATATATGTTGATTGCAGTAATGGCAGTAGAAACTGTTTATTTTTAAAAAGAATCATAAGCGCGTCTATAATAGTTTCCAATTTTGATATACATATTTATTCATATTTAACCTTATATAACCTTATATGAACGTTATAATAAAAGTAGTTTCAATCTCTCAAAATCTCTTTCTCTCTCTCAAAATAAGGTTATAAATAGATATTCAATAATATTCTCGATTTTCAACGTGTATATATATTCCACGATAGCGTATATTGATATTTACAAAATATTGATATAGCCATTAATTGAATTTAGAAAAAAATAATCTAGCGTTACAGGTCAACATCTGTTTGAAGAGAGGCACGACTTTATTGGAGGGGTGTTTTCATGAAATGCACACATTCTAGTGGAAATTTTAGTAGTCATTCCATGGCCCTAATATTGGTAACAACCACAGCTCTTTTGGTTTTGGGAGGTGTTAATAGCAAATGTCCAGAGATTTAACGTCACGATCAACGTCACACTCAACCAGGAAAGACCAGTCAATTTTATTACTATTCAAAATTCTTATTTACAAGCATACAAAATTCTTATTTTACAAGCATTTATTATTTTATACTAGTATTAAAAGAGTTTCATTTTATATGTTTATATTTTACTACTCTGTAAACTTCCCTCATTCCTTATCTTTTGTTTATCCTTCATAGTTTGTTCTTGCCTTAAATAAATTGGTTTGTCATCCTGAAGTTTGTCTTCCCTAATTTTCAACATGGCAATATATATCATAAAGAATCATAAAAGAAAGGATTTGAGTATTAGAATCAAATATTTGAGTCATCAAATTTCAAGAAATTAGTATTTGAAAAAACAATTTATTTAATATCGAAAAGTAATTTATACATATTCAAAGGGAGAAATAATTATAATAAGCAACACATATTCTTCTGATATGGGAAATCAGAGATAATAGGAAATTTATTTTATAAATAATTACATTGCAAGCCAGGATTGTAACAATAACATGTGCTTGGCGAAAACTAATCAAAATAAGGAATAAATTAATTTTGTCACTCTTCATAAATCACAAGCGCAGCTGTTTTCCATTTCTGTTCCCTGTTAATAATGTAAACCAGTCACATACATATACGCTCTAAAACCATGAACACCCTTGTTGTCTTGGGACTAGTGGCCGCCTTCTGTATCAAACTGACCTCAGGTATGTTCCTTGTTTCTTGAAAATTACTTTTTATCTTCTTTTTGCTAAACTGCTAGGAGTGTTTGCTACTTTTGAGCTATGGAATATCTTTTTCAATGTTTATTAATTTCAGTATGAAATGGAGCTGAAGAAAGGGTAGACTAAACCGTTGGTTTTCGACCGCTACGACCCAGGATCGAATCCCATATTGGGCAACTTTTTTCTAATTATAAACAAATACTCCAATGGCCCCTGATTCATGCAAAAGTCTAAACCCAACAGCGAGTGCAAGTAATCAAACGGGGCTCTGTCACATTTGTAAGTGCAGAGTCGAACTGCTTTTCACATGTGTAGACATGTGGCGCATTTACAGTAAATGCAGTCGTCAACTTCTACCCTCTCTGATTAATATTTTAATGTTTACTCGCAAAAGACTTTTGATTTGTTCGATTTTACTTGGTTTCAGATGATGCACTGTCGACAAAGTTGAACTTCGACAAACTGATTTTTTTTTTCCATTTTAAAAGTTGGCGTACCATTTGAAAACCTTTCTCTGCCATAAGATTCATCTCCAAACGCTTCCTTAATTAGAACATTCGTTTCCGAATCTGTATACCGAGTTTCAAACAAGAATAAATAGAAATTCGTTTCCACATAACACAATCAATTTCTTAAAGAAACCTGTTCGAAGAACTTTCTGGCAACGTTCTCTTTATAAAAAAATTCGAATCTCACATGCATTCGGGGCCCATGGTCAAATTATATATAATTCAAAAGCTTAGATTATAATGATTAATAATTTAATATTTATATTTAACTCCGCCTTTAGAGGTCCCAAGCCCGGATAGAAAAGAAGGAGGGGGAGCAGTAAGAAGCTCGCTAAAAAACCTGGGCTAAGCTGGTCCGGCTGTTAGTACCCTGTAAGGGCTCCTGATCCAGGGATACAGGATGAGCAGCGTTTGTATTCCATGTTAGGAGCCGCTGTACATGGCGTCTGTTCCTCATGTCAGAGGCGGCCATTTCTTTTGAGGCTAAGTAGGCCTGCCACTGAGTTGTGCTCCCAGTCTTAATGACAAAGGCAGACGCAATCTACTTCACCCAGTCATGATAGTTGTTAAGTCTCAAGCTCTACATGCTTGATACCATAATATGAATGAGTGGAGATGAGAAAGAAGAAGAAGACATTTATATTTTCTTATTTTCATTTTTTTTTTAAATACAGCATTGTCTCCCTACTCAGTGATCACATCTTGTATGTTTTATATTTCATTATAAAATATAGATGTATTAGAATTACAATCCTCTGTGTCAATTAATCAAATATAAATCTCCGAGGATAAGTTTCTTTATTACACTTTTAACCAGTTTACAAACTTTCTGGTTTTAAACGACCCTTCTACAGGTAAAATTTTCATATAATTTTATATAAAGGTGTTTTATATAAATATATTATAGACAGGAAGGAAAGACGGTAATAGAATATACAAACATAAACGTAATAAATCAAGACAATAGATCATTAATATTTCAACACTGTAGGGAAACTGATCACACCTTTACAATAGAACAACCTAAAAGACATTACAACAATATAAACAATAAGCACCGAAGACTAATCATTGAAGCATTATTACCAAGACAATACAATAGCCTTAACAGAAAAATAGACTTGGCAAAAATTTACAGCACAATATATCCTGATTATATTTAATAATGATGCATTAACGCGCCATCTGTTATATATTTATGGTAGATTAAACTGGTGAAACCGCTGGAAGGGTTCATCACTGATGAACCAGGCCCTCCCATAAATTTTTCCATTGCGGTAAGGACAGTAGAACTTGTTTAATTTAAAAAAGATTCATACGCGTCTATAATAGTTTCAAATATTTAATAATACCTATAGACTATATTTATAAAACCTTATAAAAAACATAATTTTAAAATAATAAATAAAATTTTCAGTCAATATGAAAATTCCTAAAATTAAACAAACAATAGTCAATATGCAAATATAAACTAAAGGAATTAACAAATATATTTTTTACAATTACAAGCAATATGCGAAATCTATCCTGATATTTTAATGTAAATATAAATCAGTTAGCATCTTAACGGCGTTTATATGTTTCTATGTACTCCTGTAGAAGGGCAGAGATTCCTGAAAGCTCAAGATTACGTTTGATAAAGATAAAGAAACACATTCCAAGAAACCTATAGCATTTGTTTGATTGATATCCAGGATATTTAAATCAATTAAATCAAATTCTAACATAGAAATGAATTAATACAAAGCAATAACGCGTCATCTATATATGACAAATGAAAACATTGAGACGCGAATGTTTCATTTCACAAATAAATATAATTTATAGTCTTTACTGGGAAGAAAAATATTGGGAGGACTTGGCTCATCAGTGGTGAAACCTCCCAGCGGTTTCGACAATTTAATCTACCAGACCGCTTCTTTAGAGCTCTACAACTGTATAGGATCATTCTGCTTTTATATGCTACACTGGAGGGTGGAATCTTAGAAATGGTATTCAATAAAACTATGGACATAAGCTTTTAGGAAATTATAATTACATATAAATATTTTCTTCGAGCAATGCTCTTCCGCAAACAACAAGGACAAGGCCAGTTAAGCATAAATTAATACAAAGCAATAACGCGCCATCTATATATAACAAATGAGAACATTAAGACGCGAATGTTTCTTTTCACAAATAAATCAAACTTCTACTGGCTGAGATGTATATAACATAAATGAATGTGTAAACAGGTCAGAAATGTAATACCACCACTGACGCTGAGGATATGATGAACAATGATCAAATTTGCAAGACTCGATTTGATTATGAAACTGTTGTGAGTACATCAATAAATTCATTTCATTGCTGAAAAACTAACATTTTTATTCGTTGCAGTTTCCATTTAGATCCTGTAAGATTACTTGTGGATCCGAAGGATGTCTTGTACGCCCTGATGGAACAAATTGCTTTTTTGGGGTAAGAAGGTTTTATTTTTGAGAAATCATAAATTTGTTTTTTAATAACCAAAAATGTGTTTTTTTCCAGGCTCGTTGCTGCAAAGGAGTCTGTCTGCCTATTTTCCGCTATTGCAACCATGAATA